GTTGTTAAGTTTTTTGAGACAGGGTCTCTCTGTGTAACAGTCTTGGTTGTCCTTGAACTTGATTTGTATATCACACTGGCCTTGAACTCACAGAGATCTGCCTGCCTCTGCCTCCCAAGTACAGTGCTGGGATTTAAGGTGTGTGCCACCACCACTTGGCTAAAGGTGTTTTTAAGACCTGTTTTGGAGCCCACTCACCTAAACAATCCAAATAGTGCATTTTTAGCAGTGTCTTAAGCCTGTTTTGGTCATATATTGTGGACCAGGAATAAATATCTTCAGATAAAAAATTTTGTCACATCTCATTTAAAACGAAAGCCCCCACAGTGATGTTATGTGCTGCTTTGTATTATAAGAATAGTTGACCTTCTAGTTGTCCTAAGGAAGTAGTCTTCCTTTAGAAAGTCAGTATAATATTGGTTATGAGCTTCCTCTTAACGCTCATAAAGTAAAAATTTAAGATTTTGAAGATTCTGGTGAGTGGTAACTTTATGGGACAACATCCTAGCATCAGAGCCAGGAGGTTTTTGTCGGCTTGACACAGGCTAGGGTCATCTGGAAAGAGGACCTTAATTGAGACGATGCCTCCATAAAGTTGGCCTGTAATCAAGACCATGGGGGATTTTTTTGATTAGTAATTGGTGTGTGAGGGCCTAACCCACTGTAGACAGCGCCATCCCTGGGCGTGTGGTTTTGAGGTACAACAAAAGCAAACTGAGCAACTCATAAAAGAGTCAGCTGGTAAGCCACAGTCCTCCACGGCCATTCCTTCAGGTACTGTCTCCAGGTTTCTTCCTTGCGCGCCAGTCCTGGCTTCCTTGATGAACTTTAACCAGTGAGATGATGACAAACCCTCTTCCACCCTGAGTTGCTTTTGGTCATGCTTATCACAGCAAGAGAAAGCAAACCAGAACATCCTCCGGGCACTGTGGGACATCATAGCATAGCATATCAGCATCACCAGGGGATCTGTTAGTGCAGACTACTGGGCTCCATGCCCAAGTGTCTTTATCAGGCCTGGAATAAGTGCTGAGAATCTGGATTCATAGCCAGTTTCCATATTAGCTCGCAGGCTGCTGGTCCAAGGACCACACTATGGGAACCATTAACTTATGACTTTAGAGATAGTGAGTGGGATGAAAAATGGCCTACTCAACCAGTAAGCTAAAAATGATCATTAGTACCATGGCAGATGTGGGGTCCTTCTTCCAAGGAGAAGGAAAAATTAGGCCAGTTTAAAAATGAACCATGAGTGGAAGTTACTCGGTTTACAGCTGCTCCCAAGCTCGGGCTGGAGGACAGGAAGGCTCATCTGGTTTACCCGTCCGGGTTCCAGCTCAGGACCACAGGATGGGAAGGACTTGTCTGCTTCAGGGTCTGGTGGGCCTTGGAGGGGGAGAGCATGTTCTGCCTTGGTTGGTGACAGTCCCCCCCCCCCCCCATGCCGCTTCTCTGCTGGCCGTACTGAAATGTCCCCAAGAGTGAATAGCCATTTGGGAAGAGAGCAACAATGCCATTGGTGATTACTAGCTAGTACTATTTCTACCACCCTCCATGGCCTCTTCCCAGCATGCTCTAGGTCTCCTCTGGGAAGAAGTCTGGTTCTCCTTCAGGATAGAGAGTCTTCTACTCTCCCCTCCGTCTATCTCCTCCTACTGAAAACATTACAGAGCGGTCGCCAATCCTGGGAACAGGGAGGGGTTCGGTCATCCCTGCCACAGACTACTCTGCCAAGTCTGCTGTAAGCCTGTCGCCCTGGGCACGATCAATGCCCTGAACCTTCCAGTGTCCTCCAGTGCTAACTCGCTTCCTGAAAAATTCTCTCCTCTTGCCAGCAAAGGTTCTGGTAGAGTTTGAAAGGCTGTAGCAAAATGGCTCCTAGTCTCACAAATCATACTTACCCTTAGATCTCTTCTATCATGGAGAACCGTGTTCTTTTTAAAGAGCAATTCCCAAACCTAATTGAATGGGATCCCCTGGGGGCATGGTTGGTTGTTGTTTGGTTTTTAGATACCATTTACTAAGCCCTGACCCAGAAAACACAAATTGCCTTGGAACTTGGTGCTATGTGGGAATATGTGTTTCCTAAAAAGTGCCTGGTGATTGTGCTGTGTGGCCTTGCCCAAGAATAGTGGACAGCATTCCCACCATCTGACTGGCACAGAGCCCTGGCCTGGGGTGCTCCACAGCGAAGCGTCTCCTTCTAAAGAGAAATTGGAATCTCTAACTAAAAGCTTTGATCTAAATGCATAGTGTTTGCTTATTGTCAAAAGACCTGCGTGATAATTATTTTCCCCCTAATTTCTGTTGGAAGGGAGAGACCGACCATTGATCAGAGGCAGTGTGCTGTCTCTGGGATGCGGTTATGGGACAGAGGTCAGAACTACAGCCTGTCCCTCTTTGCAGGTCAGTTTTCTGTGACTCTAACAAGATACCTGAGACAGTCACTGTGGCAGAAGGAAAGGTTTGGTTGGCTTGTGATTTCAGTCCATGGCCAACTGGTCCTCTTGCTTTGGACCTGAGAAGTACAGCCCTTGATGGTAGGAGGCAACCTGAGCATCTCAAGATAGTTGGGAGCTAATAGACAGGAAAGATCTGCAGTCTCAATTCCCCCCTCAAGGGCATGCCTCAGCAATCTGACTTCCTTTATCTAGGTCCTGTCTCGGAAAGGTTCTCCACCTATAATAGTGTCCTATAGTAGGGACCAAGCATTCAACACATGAGTCTTTGGGGACATGTATATCAAACTATAACTATAGCTTCCTATCTGGGGTACTTTCCAATACTCCATTGTTGCGCTCTCTCTCTCTCTCTCTCTCTCTCTGTGTGTGTGTGTGTGTGTGTGTGTGTGTGTGTGTGTGTGTTCACGCATGTGCGTTTCTGAGAGAGAGAGAGAGAGAGAGAGAGAGAGAGACAGACAGAACTTTTGTTTCCTTGACTCTGCCATCCCTCTTTTCAATAGCAAACAATCTCCATTACTGTGGATGATGAAGGCATGTGAGGAGGCAGAGGGTTAACTTGCTCATGGAGCTAGGACATGTCCCAGAGGTCTAACTATCTGACTGAGTTCTAAACTGGGTAGAAGACCTGTGTACATCTGCTTCAGAGAGATGGGAAGTTAGGGGTTTCATGCTATTATTATATTCCTAATTTCCTGTCATCTGAAAGGCAACTCAGTCTATAAGAGAATATCTCTCTCCCTTCCTCCTCCTCCCTCTCTGTTCCTCCCACCTTCTCCTTCAGTCTCTTCCTCCCTCCCCTTTCATTTCTTGTCTCTCCTTCCCCTCCTTCCCTCTCTCCCTCTCTCTCTCTCTCTCTCTTTCTCTCTCTCTCTCGCTTGTGTGCACACATACAACAAGAATAAAGTAGTGGAAACTACGCTAAACAGGAAGCTAAAGACAGAGGTCTCAGCTTTCTGAGTCTAAACTCCAGAGCATGATGGGTAACAAACTGGTCAGGAAGGAGACCAGGCAACAGATATTGAAGGCGGCGATGAGACCACCAGAGTCCAGAGGGAAGATCTAATATTGCCAGAAGCCCTTGGACAGTGAGACAAGCTTGTGGCTGTGGGTCAGGGCACTCAAGAGTGCCGGGTATAGGTAGTATGGACTGAGACCAATGGGAGGCCTGGAAGCCCCCACCAGGTGTTCACACACTTTACATCACCTTGAACAAGCCTCGCCATCCTCGTCTGTAAAAAGCCAGCAGGTTAATCTGTATGCATACCTTGCAGCAAGGAAATCTATCTTTGGCAAATGAATAGGGGGGGGGGGAAGTGTCACTGTAGTGCAGCGAGGATGGAAGAGTTTTCAGGTGAGCACGCTCAGTCTTCAGTCCCAAGTCTGTGTGAGCCTTGCAACTACAAACGACACCGACACCTGTGTCAGGAAGGAATGGCTCGCCCAGTTTGTGGCAGCGGTATGAACCCACTGCCAACCCGCGAGCTCCGGGACTCGTCGCGCTTATTTCAAACACAGCCGACAGTCCCCGAGTTAGTCAGTCAGGCTTGAGAATGTTCAGTTGACGTTTCCGGTTGACCGCCTTCCCATGGCCCTTTCGCTTCTCGTTTCTCCTGATGGGAACTGAACAGAAGGTGTGTGACACACTCGCTCGTTATCTGAGGCGCCTTCCCTGTTGTGAAAGGATTTCAGACAAGCTCAGAAACGCAGACTGCGGCTGCCTCCCCTCCATTCATGCAGGAGTTTCACCAGGCTAACAGAGACAAGAAAATTAAGGGCTCTCAGAGTAGAAGGAAGTGAAAGGAAATGGGGAAGCGGGTCTGTGCAAATGCCGAGCATCCAGCGAGCTCTCCTATCGGGTGCTGCTGGGGCTGCTGTATGTGGAAGTCGGCCGGAGGTTTGCTGTTGTCTTTGTCATGTAGACAGGAAAAGAGAAGGATGCAAGGTGGTTTACTCAACGGACAGTGTTGGCCAGGTGTCAATGAGGAATAGAAAAATCTCTGTCCTATCCAAAGACAGTCATGAGGCTATATTGAGTCCACTCAGGCGCGCAGAGCTAAGAGGAATGTGTAGCATCATTTCGTTTGCCTTCCTGACCCTCTCCATGAAGGAGATGCAGATGCTTTCGGATGCAAATGATCCTGGACTTCAAATTTTAGCCCATGGGGCTGGAAGAATAGCAGCATAGCAGTTAAGAGCACCTGCAGTTCTTCCAGAAAACCTACGTTTAGTTCTTAGGACCCACGTCAAGAAGCTCACAACCAACTATCACTCCAGTTCTCGGGGATTGGTGCCCCCTTTTGGCCTCTATAGGCACCCCCCACACACACACACAATTTTTAAAAGAAGTTTTAACTCTTAAGTAGTGGCATAGAATGGCAAAATGAGCTACCGACAGTTGTGAAGCAGTCTACTAGTTAGACTGTAATTAGAACCCACAACCTCCCCAAAAGTCAGCTTCTCTGATTGCCATCAAATTCTGCCACCTCATTGATATGGTCTATAAAAGGCTGAGCAAAAATCACTGGTGAAGTTCCCAACTATGGCAACAAACAGTTCCTTTAATAGATGCATCAGCCGGATTTAACGTCTTTAATGTGAACTAGCATCTCTTCCTTTATACTTCCTTGCAGAGCACATTCCTTCATGGCCTTCACAGATCTGTATGGAGGTAAACAGACTTTAGTGAGCGTTGTCCAGGCGTGTGTGCGTGCATGTGTGTGTGTGTGTGTGTGTGTGTGTGTGTGTGTGGTATGTTCAGGTACAAATGCACGTTAGCACATGGTGCATGTGTGTAGAGGACAGCCTTTGTGTCGTTTCTCACATCCGTTCCACCTTTTGCTTGAGATGGGCTTGCTCATTGGTCTGGAACTGCACCAAGCCAGTGAGGCTAGCCGATGAGGAAACTCCAGGGATCTACCTGTATCTTCCATCCATCCTGTGACTGTTCGAGTTAAGAGGGCGTGTCACCATGGCTGGCTTTTTCCTGGATTCTGGGTATCCAGCAAACTCATGGCCTCATATTTGTAAGGTAATCGCTTTACTGAAGGGAGAGCATCAGTTCTTCATGCGTTTTTAGGTAGGGAAGTATTCTCAGCACTGTTCTGTATCTTAGGAACAGAGACCCTGGCAAGAAGGTAGTCCCATACATTATAGTAGCCATGCAGTATGCCCTCTGAAAGCACGTGTCCCGGACCTGCAAGAGGCAGCATCCTACCAAGACCCTCATGTTTATGAGACTCTCCTAGTGATTGAGGCTATGGCCAGCCCTTCTGGATCTTCATGTGCCCAGTGCAAAGTAGGCTTTAGGTATTGTCCACCGTTATCATTGCTTACTGATCATGTCCATGGACTTGGGGAGCAGAGGGCCCTGGGTTCATGTCTCAATTCTTCTTCTTTTGGGAACTTGTAAGGCAGCATGTTTGTTTTCCTTGTTGACTGAGTTTACTCATCCAGCTGCCAAAAATAGTTCATACTTGGGGTTCTTGTAGCTAAAATCTGATGTTGCCTTGGATATACACGACATAAAAGTATACACACGAAAGTCAGTAAATTGTAGTTACTAATATTGGTGTGAACATCCTCAGATGGAAGAAGGGCCTTTAGCAGAGAATTTCCAATAAGCTGAACTAGATATTTCATGTGGAGAAGAGGATTAAATGCAGAAGGACCTAGAACTGGGCCATCTGGTCCAATGAATGTCTTCTTACACTTGCTGTTTTTCATAATACAGCAGGTAGGGTAGCTCTTAGCTATGCACGATTCTAATGCTCTTTGTTGTTTGGGACACAGGGTCTCGTGCTCCCCATGTGACCCAGAATGATCTGGAACTTATCCTCCTGCCTCCGCATCCTGCCTATGCTACCTTGTCAGGTTTACGTGGTGCTGGGTTTGAACCCAAATACTTCACGAGGCATGCCTGCTAGGCGAACACTCTACCAGCCCTGCATCCCAGCCCTCCTTCTCTCTCTTATGTAAAAGTTCCGAGGTTGACAACTCCGTCTGATCTGGGAGGAAATGTTCAAGTTCTCAACACAACTGTGCTAACAGTCTTGTGCCTTTGCAAGTACATTCAGAGGTACTCAGCCCCCTCCAGTCCCGAGCTCCCATTTTTCATGGTTAACGGGCTGTCACCACTATCTAGCCATCTCCAAATAGCAGCAAGTGCGGTGCGCAGACCTCGCGGTAGATAGCGTTGGGAGCAGCCGACATGCTGTCATCACACTGGGGGCAGAGTGGCAGCGCTGAGTGATTGATGGGGCCTGGTAGAGCAACCTGCCCTCAATTAGTTTTGCATGGATTTCTGAATTGTGCCTCCTTCGCAGACTGTAGTACTGCAGGCTGCTGCTCCGGTGCCTGGAAACGTGTGTTGTGGGTAAGGAGTACCCCGCTCCCCCGCTTGGATTTCCAGGACCCTAGGCAGCTGTCTCGCTGCCTAAGAGTTCTTTATCTTGTTGGGGATCCATGGCCTGGAAGGTGAAGAGGAGGACAGAGGCACTCACCCAGAGACGCTGGAGTGATTGGTGGCATTAATCAAATGGGTGCCCCGCAGCCCTGCATCGGGGCAGAAAACGTGTTTGAGATTAGCACCTTATCAGACAAATGCTTGCGCTTATCTTATTCCTTGAATAAGTTACAAGCTATTTCTTCTCCTCTCTCGCAGCAGCAGACGAGTGAGCCAAACCTGGAATCAGAAAATGTTGATATGTTGTCAGATGGGGAAAGTTATTTTTGTGTGTCTCTGTCACCACATCAGCTAGAACGAATCGCGTCCCTGCAGGGTACAGGCAGGGATGGAATAGCCGCAGCCCCGACTGGACGAGTCTCAACTCTGTCCCGGAGGCACAACGGGGAAGTAAAAGCGCTGAGTTAGAGAGGAGCTGTGCTGGGCCTGGAGAGATGTCTCAGCTAGTAGAGTGTGTATAGAGTTCGGATCCCCAGTACACATAAAAAAGGCCGGGCATGGTGCACGCCCAAAAGCCCACTGCTGGGGAGGTGGAGACAAGCCAGTCGCTGGAGATGGATCGTCAGCCTGAATCAGTGGGCTCTGGGTTCAATGGAAAAATGCCTCAGGAAAGGAAGTGGAGAAGCGATTGAGGAAAACACCCGACATTGACCTCAGGTAGACACACAGGCAATCATGCACACTCGTGAGCATACATGTGCAAATATGTGAATAAACACATGCATAAAAGGAAGAATAGGGTCAGGGAGAGAACAAGGAAGAGGAGGGGAGGAATGAGAAGAGACAAAAGAAAAGTTGGTCTTGCTATTTCTTCAGTATCCCGTATCTGCATGTCTCAACCAAGACAGCCTGCTTCCTCAAACATGCCTTCAGTCCTCCATAGCCCTGGTGTGACCAGGGTGCCCCTCTCCTGCTTCTTTACTGTCCTTAGTGTCCTGTCCTGGGCCATGCCTCATGCTAGCTCAATACATCCTAGCAACCTTCCTGACTTCCCACCCTTCCTCCTCCCCATGAGCTCAGCCACCTTTTAAATGAGAACTTGGCCCCATTTAACCCTGCAGAATCTCCATGGCCTTTGAGAGACATCTTGGGCGGAGGGGGCCTCTACTTACCCGCTTCCTTCCCTCCTTACACCATGTTTGTGCTTCCTTAAATGTGGCACGTCCCCTTCTGTGACTCCACATGCCTCCACATAATCTCCATCCTCTATCTAGAGCTATTTTCTTCCTGGTTTCATATAGCAATTCCGGTGTGTTTTTCAAAATGCAATATGGCTGTCGCCTTCGCCTTCAAGGAGCCGACCTTGACTTTCTCCGTGTGGTTTCACTGAGCCAGACTTCAATTCCCACCCATGGAACTCTAGGAGTTTTACTCTGTTCTCATGTTTCTGCATACCGGTCACTGTCTTTCAGATCTATTTGGTGCCTCTAATATATATCAGGCGAAGCATTGGAAACTTATTAACAGGTGGAATCTTTTTTGTTTGTTTTTTTGTTTGTTTGTTTTGTTTTGTTTTTTGTTTTATGAGGCAGGGTTTGTTTCTCTGTAGTTTGGAGCCTGTCTTGGAACTAGCTCTTGTAGACCAGGCTGGTCTTGAACTCATAGAGATCTGCCTGCCTCTTTCTCACAAGTGCTGAGATTAAAGGCGTGTGCCACCACCGCCTGGCTAATAGATGGAATCTTAAGAAAGAAAGTGGGACTGGGCATGAAGGGATGTCATACACTGCAGTCTATGTCATTGGTGCCACCTTCTCAAGGCCGTATCTCATGGTCACACCGCCCCAAAGAAGGCCAGATAATATTTTCAGAGAAATCTGTGTTCGGCTTTTCAATCACAATTGCATCTTGGTTCTCCTCACTCCAACCGTGGGCTCATGTGTGAACTATCAAAGGAAGTGTGTTTTTGGAATGCTGACATGGATGTAGAGAGAATTCAGAAAAGGCATATGCCTAAGGCAGAATATGTACAGATGCAGCCTTCTGGAAGTGAAAGGGTTTGGGGAGGGTTTGAAGTTTTCTCATGTAACCTGCACTACCAAAGAATCATTGAGCAAATTCAATAAGATACCTAAAACCCTTTGACCTTCCTGGGCATGCAGAATAGGACACAATATGCTGACATGCTCAGTGATGGTTGGGAGTATGCCTGGGTAGCCTGCGAGCTAGCAGAGAATGCAGATAGACAGGTTGGCACAGTGGTCCATTCTGGAAGAGGGATAGGCTGGGACACTGGAGCATGCTCTTTCCATTTCTTAGCTTGCCATGGGAATTGTGCAGTTTAAATGAGCAGCCACAGGTGATGAAGAGAGAGCTTGAATTCCATTGCTGTCCTTGCATCGTAACTACCTTCCAGGCCAACCCTTCACAGGAAAATGACATCATATCACCAAAATAGATCACCAGGGCTGCCCTGGCAAACACCTCAGCATAAGTGGCTTAAACGGCAGAAACTGGCTCGCTGTTCGAGAAGCCAGGAGGCAGAGATCACCATGTCAGCAAGGTCAAGCTCCCTCTGAAGATGTTAGGGAAGGATATACCCCAGCCTTCTCTCCTGACTTCCAGAAGTTTCCAGGCTTGTAGCTGCAGCATTCTGGATTGCATGCTATTCTCATGGCAGGTGTCTATATCTGCGTTTCTCCTTTTCATAAGGATGCCAGACACGCTGGATTAGAGACATGCCCTTCTATGCTGCAACCTCATCTTAGCTGATTGTATCTGCAATAACTCCACTTCCAAATTCGGTCACATTTGACAGCCCCAGAGGGTAATGTGTCTACATATACACTTGGAGGTATGCTTAAATAATGCCCCCTAAGTGACCAACCATTCTGGGAAGTACGCATGTGCCTAGCAGCTGTGCATTCAGCCGTGGACCTATCTGGAGAGATGACTTCAGGTAACAGGGCCCTTGGAGGATATGATGTAATCTCCTACTCCCCCAGGAGCTATTTATGGCCCACGAGCCTGTGAACATTTGAATGTGTGTGAGCAGGAAAGACAATGAGCCAGACAGACTTCTCCACCCACTGAGGAGCCCTCGCGTGGCTCAGCCGCCCCTTCCTCCCGCTCTACAATGGATTTGCCATGTGAAGTAGGCCTGATGCTTTCAGGTAGAGGAGCCTCTCCAAACCATCACGTGGGTGTCAGCTCTTTACTAGCTCCCTAAATGAGTCCAAACACAGAGACCCACAGGGATATTAGATCATAGGTAACCAGCCCTCCAAGAGCCTGGGATCAAATGCATACAGAATGGTGATGGTTAAGGATTGCTAAACTTGGATCTTGTTATTCACACAGCCTGGAGTAGACACTATGCAAAAGCTTGTGAATAGGAGCTGGAGAAATGGCTCCGTGGTTTAGAGCTCTTGTTGCTCTTGCAGAAGACTTAGGTTCAGTTCCCAGTATCACTGTAACTCCAGTTCCAGGGGATTCAGTGTTCTCTCCTGACTTCCAAAGGCACAGGCATTTATGTGGTGTGCCCATGTACATGCCGACAAAACATTCATGCATGTAAAATAAATCTTATAAAACAAAACAAAACAAAAACAACGACAATAAAACTGTGTGTAGTGAACAAATACAGCATAGACCCTGGCATGATTTAAAGGTCCCTCCCCTTCTCTTGGCTTCTGTTCTGAAAGAGACTTGCCTGGTGTCTGGAACTTTATCCATACAGGGCCGATCGCCACTGATCATCAGACATTCATCACACCTAGGTAACATCCTGAAAGGAGTCAAAGAAGCACCACCCCGCTCTGTTGTAGACGTCCTTTGAAGTAAATCCCGTCACCAACCCAGCACCAGCACCTTCCATACCCACCCACTTTGATCATTAGGGCTGGGATAACAAAAAGACAGAGTTGGGCAGCCCTGGTCAAAGGAAGCTGAGACCAGATACCCCCAGAAGGACCCTCATGAGGAGAGAGAATCTCACAGCAGTTAGGCAGGGATGAGGCTGGAGCTTGACCGGGGAGAGCGCATTACAAACCTATGAGACCATCGGGAAGACTGCTTAAAGAGAAAGAGCAAGAGAGATGGTTCGCGTGTGCACCAGGACAGAGGACCTGAAGGGACACGAAAGAGTGGCTTCAGAGAAAGCCCTTAACTTCATAACTTTTCCCCACGGCTGCAGCAGCCTGCCCATGACTAAAAGCCAGCTTGGAGGTAAATATCAGAGCTGCTTGCCCAGTGAAGCAGAGTTAATTTAAGGAAGGACAGTGTTTAAGTCCCTGATAGAGCTTCAGAATGCAGAGACCAGAGGACTAGGAGGCGTGGCCTGATTTCAGGGGAGGAGCAGCTCTAGTCTGCAGTCCAATGGTGGCCCCGTCTCTCCCTTCCCCTTGCCTGGGTCAAGGATGACACATCTGGAGGCTCCCCTGCACACTGGTGGGCAAAGTTGGTGTTGCCCCTTCTTTCTTCATCCAGCATCTCTCTGCCTTGTTTGCAGAGCCCTTGCCTACTGTGTTGTGACCACCTCTTTGTGTGACTGACATGACCCTGAATCCCATCTGAGTCCCTAATTCCCTGTGGAGAACCTGGCCCGCACTTACTCAGTGTTTGGTGCACAGTTGTTGACCGACTGAACGAGCGCCTGCTTTATTCTTTAACAACACTGCTCTTAGGTGTCGTAGAGGACGCAAATAAATAGAATCGACGTCAGATCGTTCTTCCACGTCGCTTGCGTTATAAAAGAATTTATTTAGTAAGCATAGAGACTCCAGACTGTAATGTAGAGAGTACCGCTGACAGCCTCGATAGATTCAAGTCCCAGTTCAGACTCCATAGGCTCATGTTCTGTGACCTGGGGACTTACCTTCCCTGATCTGAGCCTCAGTTGACTAACCTGAAAGGGGGCCCTTTCGCTTATCTCAGAGGATTACTGAAGGAAGTACAAGGGGATGACAGGTGGGGAATTGCCGTGTGGGTGAGGGAGGTATTGGCACAGGTGTTGCTATAGAGGAAGGTGCTGTCTGAAATTGGATTGGTCAATGGGCGGGATGGACAAGCAATCACGTGTATCTCTGAGAAGTGCTGGGCAAGTGGGCATTCGTAGGAGTTAGAACTTGGCCTGAGCTTTGGAGAATGAGGCCATCTTAGACAGACAGAAAGAGGCAGGACAGTCTGAACAGCTATTCCTAGCTTGTAAGAGCAAGGAACATGTGTGCGAGGTCAGAGAGCACGTCCCATAGCTGCTGGAAGAAGCTAAAAGGGACTTAGGATCATTCTGCACAGCATGGAGGAGGCAGGAGGTGTGTAAATTCAGCAAATCGGTCATGCAAGCTGACTTACTGGTCACGTTTCGTGTGTATTATGTTATATCCAATAACTATTTTGTCCTAAGGCAGCAGCAAGAGCTCAGGCCCCAGGAAACCACTTGCTATTCTCTGGCCACCCTGCATATTCACACTCTCTCATTGTTTTACACACGCTCCTCGGCACTCCTCAGAATGCTTCCCTTCAGCCATTGGTACCTGCTCGTCTCTCAAGGGTCAGCTCAGTTCCGGGTTTCTTCGTGCTGGACCATCCCCCCACAGCAGCCTCCCTCTTTGCCAGATCCTAATACACACACATAGGAATATTTGTTCTGCTCAGATCTCTGCCTGTGTGTCATGATGGTTCCATTGGCATCTCCATCTCCTGAAAGCCGTGGGCTCCATCCGGCCTGCTCAGCACTGCCTCTGTAGATTCTACTCTGTCTTGTAGAACCTGTTCTGTGTGTGTGCTCCACACACACACAGAAGGGAACAGAGGGAGCAAGCAGACAGCCTCTCTACACAAACTGTCTTATTCACCCAGAAAGGCTGGCCTGGGTCTTTGCCAGTAGGAAGAGCAACACCTGAATCTCCATCAGGAACCACACTGACAGTGTGGTGAACACTGGAGTCACGTGATCTATCAGAAGCCACTGTCTAGACTTTAGAGGGGAGGTCTTGTTTGGCCCAGCGGAACGATTTCAAGCTACTGTCGCTGGCTTAGTTTTAGCTGTAAATGGCGTATTTGTCCATTTGTGCTGTGATAATGAAGCCTGAGCAGCTTAAAAATAACAGTAAGTGTGTGTCTCGTGGAAGTCTAAGGCAGCAATAGGCCCGGTGTCTAATGAGGCCCGTTCCTGGTTCATAGACGTCACCTCCTCACTCTGTTCAGCCGGTACAAGGGGTGAGAGAGCCCCATGGGGCCTCTTTTATCTAGGAACTGATCCCACGCCTCTGGTCTCCAGTTCCATGCTCTAACTCAGCGCTGCACCAATGGGGATTAGAACTGGGATGGAGGTCGAATTTAGAATGTAGCAGACAGAGATAATGATGGGGTGTTGTCTGCTAAGAGAAACAGCAAATTACAGTGGTTTAAACGAAAAAGCCCGCCCCCAGAGAGAGGTCTCAAGTATTTGAATACCTGGTCCCCAGTTAGTGGCACTGTTTGAAGAGGTTTAAGAGGCAGGGCCTTGCTGAAGGAAGGAAGTCACTGGGGATGGGCTTTTAGAATTTAAAGTTTCCTGCCACTTCTAATACACTGTCTTTGCTCTGTGCTTGTGGTCGGGGCGTGTTCATTCTCTCAGCTTCCTGCTCCTTCCAACATGTGCATGTTTCCCTCCCCCGCTGCCATGCCTTCCTTCTGTGGTGGATTCTTACCCCTCTGGAACCATGAGACACAATAAGCTCTTCCAGGTCATAGGTCATAGTGTTTTGTCACCGCAATAGAAAAGTAACTGAACAAGTAGGATTTCTTTGGGTTTTTTTTTTTCCCATTAAAGCTACTGGGATCTGGTAATATAATTTTTGAGGATACTAAAAGCATGCTAGATGCTGTTGTTTGAATGGATGGATGGATGGATGAGTAGTTTTTGTTTCTCTTAAAGTTTTTTGATTTCGAGACAGTGTTTTGCTATGCATCTCTGGCTGGCCTGGAACTTTGCTAGGTAGACCAGGCTGGCCCCTACCTTGTAGAGCTCCACGCAACAGTGCCTCTAAAGTGCTGAGATAAAAGGCACGCACCACCGACCCAGCTCAGTGACAGAGTTGTCAGATGAGGTCCCTGGGTCCTTCCGAATATCTTTCGGCACATGCAAGTCATCTTTTACAAAGAGCAATAGATCTTTCCACACACAAATTTCCTCGAGCGTGTACACCTATAGATGACAAGGCTTTGAAACTCAACCATCCCGGAGTGGGGTTATTTCAACACCAAAAAGTTTAATGGGGTATCAACAGTTTTTAAGAGCTCTCACAACTATTCAGATTTCAGGAGGAAAATGTAAGTTATGTGTTTAAGACATTGATTTTTTTTTTTGTAATCTAAGTTCTTAGAAAGAGAAACTATTTTTGAAATGTGATAATTTTTTAATTAAAAGGTGACTCTGGAGCTGACACAATATCCTCTTTGCCATCAGTGTGAGTATGGTATGTCTCTAATCTTTTACTCGCTTCTACCACCTTCTCTCGACCATGGCCAGGGTCGCCTCATAGTCACTGTGGTTTTTAGTCTTTCTTTTGTTTAAGCTACAAGCCATCAAAAGTCATTTCAAAAACAAACAACAAAATGCAAGAAAAGGAAAATAAAAACAACACAGGTTTTCAGGCTGGAGGGCTCAGTTTGTCATCTGAACACTTGGAAGGTCTAAGCAGGAAGGAGGACCATAAGTGTAAGGTCAGTCTGAGCTACTGGTTAAGTTCAAGACCAGCCAGGGATATGGATCAGGACTGTTGAAAAAAGAAAAAAGAAAAAGGCAGGAGAAATCCAAACAAACCAATCCTGACTCTGATTGATAGCAAGATCTTCTAGGTATAATCCTATGGGTGCACACCATGGTGCTAAAAAACCCCTACAGACCCCCAAAGAGCGTTTCTTCTCATTTCATATATGCCATGGACACAAAGAAAGACTTTAGTCCAGGGTGCCCTGGGCTCTGGTTTAGTGCAGAGTGTAATTTTCCCCTCTTGGCCCCACAGTCATTTCCTTTTACCATTGTCAAAAGACTTTTTTTCTTCTCCTAATGAAGCATGAAAATTGATTGTATCTCGCCAGAAGGGTTCTTCCTCAGTCTTGAGATATTAAAGATTTTATGAGAACCCCATGAAGAATATCTTCTTGAATCATTTACATTTTCCCCTTTTGTGGGCTTATGTAACCATGCAGAAAATCTAAGAATAAGTGAGAGCTATTAGCATGCCATGTGCTCCCCTACAGGCAGCCAGGCTGTGGAGGTGGGAGACACCAGCACCAGGGGTTCTCGATAGTGTAAAGGGGGTGTGGTTTCTGAAGAAAACCCCTGGGGAACATCTGTAGCTAATTGAACATCGAATCAATTGCTATTGGGCTTCCTACTCCCTCTTGCCCATGTCCAGTCATCTCTTTTCTGGGGCAACAGGAAGTATGGTGGCTCCGGACCTTGCACTTGAAGGGTCTCTTCCAGTACAAATAGCTAAAACTATCTGTAGTCTCCAAGAAGTCTTGGTAGAGACAGACAAATGAATTGGGGGTCAGAGAGAACCCTGATGTTAGTTGCATAGGAGAGCGGTAGGTAGTGTTACCATCAGTGGAATTACCCCAGCTCCTGTTTATAAAAGACCAGAAGTTAGGCCAGAATTCAGGCCAGAATTTCTCCCATTCTGGCACGTGGTTACAAGTTCGGTCTACATCCCCAGAAACATGAGCCATATTGCCCTGCTGTCTGAGGCTCTGCGCTCTGCTTTTTTGTTTGTTTGTTTTGGGATTTTTTGTTTGTTTTTGTTTCTTCAAGACAGAGTTTCTCTGTGTAGCCCTGGTTGTCCTGGAACTTGCTCTGTAGACCAGGCTGACCTCCAACTCACAGAGATCCATCTGCCTCGACCTCCAAATGCTGGGATTAAAGGCATATGCCACCCCCCACCCTCCACACACCACTCCATCCCCTCCACCCCCCACCCCCTTGCTGCTCTCTGCTTCTTGAGAGCAGAAACAACCTGACTAGCTTTGTGACTCACCTTTGGCCCACAATTGAGGTCTTCACCTTCCCCTCAGCTGTGTGTGCCTAGTGTCCGATAGTTTGTCTCTGTGATAAGAAAGGTAACTGATGTTGCCTAGCAATAACAGTCTTTCTGACTGTAGTTCCCCGCCCCTGCCCCCTGTAACACCGTAGCCTCCTTCCTCTTTCTCCTTGGTGCTCTCCCTTTAATGTGCAGTTATGTGCAGATGGGGCCTGAACTCAGCTAGGCTCTGTAAACTGGAGAGAGGCAGGAAGTGTTGGCTCTACCCAGCAGCTGCCTCTCTCATTCTTTTCTCGCAGAATCCCAGGGTGTCTATGTGTGTGAGTGGGCGTCTTTTCTCTGTCAGCCCAAGCTGAGCTCTGAAGACAAGTTAGCAGGGATCAGCTGCTGCAGTGAGGTAGGTCAGAACATTTTTTTTTTTTTGCTCCGCTGCAAAATTAGACATTGTCAGGGGCGCAGGTTGACCCCATACCCTACGCCTGTCCTTGGAAAAAATACCAGCAAGCACACAAGCTACACTGGAGGTACCACGTCGCTCTGAGACACTTCTGTGCTTTTGGCATTTCCTCTCCGATAGCATTGCAGTCATAATTAAGTACTGGCATTTCCTCCTTTCATCCTAGGCCCCAGCTTAGCTCCATGTCAGACAGGGCCAGGAGCTGCTGACCCTGAGGGTACACACTTAGCCCGCAAAGCCCTCTGGCCCCACAGGTGTCCTTTCAGCCCCGTGGACCGAGGCAGCAATGCCGCGGCAGATGTATCGCCCACTTCCACCTTTGGAGACGCTGCCTCTGTAATTGATGCTCATGCGGACCAGGGCTATTCCGTTAAGGTCCAGAGGTGCTCATTAACACGGATGCTGGATTGCGTGGGCGATGTGGCTCATCGTTATGAATCTAAGAAGGGGCGCTGAGGAACTTGTTATGGAGGCCATTTATAGATTGTTAAATTAAAGGATTAGTGTTATACTAAACCATGTTCAGGTTAATCAGTTGTGGGAAACCAGATTTGATGTTTAAACTGGCTTGAACTATGTATGACTTTATAGTTTTTTCAGTTATTAAGCTACTTTCAACTCTAATAAACCATCCAGCTTGCTAATTGAGCATACTATACAATTTTACACATAACTAAATATGGTCTTGTTCCCTCATTTTTTAAAAAAATTTATGATACATTTTTGGGTTTTTTTTTCCCCCGAATTGGATCAAAAACTTTTTAAGCAGGACAGGTGTGTGTGTGTGTGTGTGTGTGTGTGTGTGTGTGTGTGTATGTGTGTGTATGTATGTGTGTGTAATTTAATGTATTTATTTATTGTTTGGTTATTTTGGAGGGGTTTGTTTTGGGGGGGGGTCTTTATTTACTTACTTGAGGAAGGTTTCACAATGCAACCCTCACTAGCCTGAGTGAAATTATGTAGCACAGACTAGATGCAAATTCAATGTGATCCTCCTGCCTCTGCTTCCTACATGTTGTGCTCGGTCACAGGTAAGGGCCACTACACCCGGCCTCCTGTTTTCTTGTCTGAACGTGGGGGGGGGGGGCATGTGCACATGTGTACATGTTCAGGTACATGAGCGCAGGCATGTGGCGGCCAGAGGCCAATCGTGGCTGCTATTTGCTGTTTAACTGTGATTCACCTTGTTTGCTGAGGCAGGCTCTCTCGCTGCATTGCCGTTCATCAAGGAAGCGAGGTTATCTGTTTTTGTCCCCCCAGTGCTGAGACCATAAGTGTGAACTGCCATGCTTGGCTTTTGTGGGGATGTTCTGGGTCTTGAACTCAGGTCCTAACGCTTGCATTAGAAACACTTTACCAGCTGAGCTATTTCCCCCAAGATGTTTTTTGTAACAACGTGTAATTCTGTAGATTGTTCTTGAACGCAAAGCAATGCTCCTGCAATAGTCTCCTGAGCCTCCTGAGTGTTGGAATTACAGACTTGAGCCTCCACATCCAGCTTTGGTGTAAATTTTTTTTTGTCCCTAAACTAAAAGCTTCTACCATAATTGTAAATAGATACGGCAGATGCTAAAGAATTTGTTTGTGGACTGGTTGCTTCATTTTTAGAAGGTGATACATGTGTGATCATATGATTTACTCTAGGGGTGCTTCATGTAACACATGTCGTCAGCTTTCTATACATCCATAGAGTATGCTGCTCTATAACCATTGCCCTATTGGCAATAGGAAAAGTACGACAAGGTTCATACAGAAGTAGAAAGGATCAAGAAGATTAACCCAGGCATGATGCTGTTGCCTTGGTGAAGACAGGACCACCAAACTGCTCCTGGGATAGCCTCATTTCCCTCACCAAGAAGCATGGCTGGCACAGACCAAAGGATCTGCTTGTCTTTATCTTTAATTCAGCAGCCAATTATTGTCTTTTAACCCTACCGGGAGCAGAGAAAATATCCAACAAGTAAAGATTCCACACACGGAGAAATTTATAGGCCAGAAATTTTCAGTCCTTTGGAAGGGAGAGCATAATCACACAGCATCAAACAGTCACAGACTCCAGGGAACGGAGTGAACCTACATGAGAGTTACTCACTGACCGGACAATGTCCTGACCCTACTAAAGGAAAAATTTCCCAAGGACCCATGTGGAGCCCCTTGCTCACACTCATGTCCCCAGGCTATGCTCTCCTCTGCCACATAGCACGCCTGCCATCTCTTTGTTACAGTCACATTTTCAGATAGCTGCATCACTCAGAGTCCTCTACAGAAGCATAGACAATAGAATAAACGGATATTATAAAGCCACATCACCAGGATGGCTTGTGCCATCAGGCCGGGCAGTCCAACAGTGGCTGCGTGTACTCTGGAGAGTCTGAGAAGCCTGGATCCGCCGTCCACGAAGCTAGCTGCTTCAGCAGTCCCAAACTGGCACTGAAAAATCCAAAAGACCCTTGAAGAGCCTCTAGTCTTGAATCCGCATTAGAAGGCCAAGAAGCTGAATTCCGGTCAAAGGCAGTAGCAGGGCCTGCAGTGGCAGTAGAATAGAAGAAGCCCTTACCAAGGAGTAAAGGCAGGCGGCAAAGCGAGCACACCACCTCTCCCTGGACTTGTACACATCTGTGCAGCCCTGAGGTGGCGTTCTGTCAAAGGGGGGTGTCTTCTCCACCTCCCCAGTGATGGGACAGCAAAGGCACACCCCTACAGACCCACCCAGAGGTATATTGCTCTTAGTTAATAGACCCAATCAACTAGACTGCCAATGTTAACTGTCACCATGTCCAGTCTGAAGGAGTCATCTGGTTAAACACCCACACCCTGACATTTCTGCCACGGTTGCTGCCGCCAGCTGTTTGTGGATGGAACCCACTTCGTTAGGCTGGCTGTGCAGGGGACCCTGTGGACTGTCACTGCACTTCAGGCCTGGAGACCCTCACTTGGTTGACAGTTTTCTTCCCAACTCATGCGTCTGTTGTGCCTGCAAGCCGTTCTCCTCTTTCTTTCTTCCATTTCTTTCTCATTATATCAGTGAACTGCCCTCACTAAGCCAATTAAAGGAGCCAAACCAAGAGGGGAAACCAGAAAAAGTCTTATCCAACGTGACCACACTGGAAGGGGTGGGGGACAAAGAGATTCAGTGACTGCCCACCTCCAGCTCCATCTTCGCCAGGCTCCTGACATGATGACAGGGTTTAAATTGAAACTTAGAGGTTGGGTTACTAAACAGTCAACCCATCATGGCCTCAGCCCTTTGACTGGCCCACAAGGTCAGTGTCTCCAGCAAGCTTGTCTTTCTCTGGAAGACAAGTTCCTCCTCTGGCTGCCTCTAGGGCTTCAGCCATTTCATCACTCTTGCAGGAGATGCCTAGGGACATTCTAATTTTATTGGGATCCATTGTTTCAATGCTCAGCTAGCTGCAGAGGGCTGCAGAGGACAGGAGTGTGTCTATAGAGTGTGTTCATTCCTGGCAGGCTGGTTCCAACCTGTCCTCCTGGCATGGACTCCTATTTAGAATTCGTTTTATTGCTCTGTCTCCTGTTTTCCGATGACTCCTTCTGCCTTTATAAATGAGATGTGGTTTGAACAATATGTGTCAACAATATCCTCTAGAGAGAGACAAGTGACTTATTTTCTCAATTTACTCTCGGTTTTATCAATTCATCAATATATTACTGAAATTTTATAATATCACATGGTCGAATAGAGAAAGACCTCAAAGAAATGAGCAAAGTCCTTTCAAGACCCGTGGGATTAATTTAAATTAAAATACTTATAAGCTTGGCTGAAATACCATTTTATATTTCTTAAGAAGCAGGCTAGTGTTTTAGTGTTCAGCCCTCATGGACTCGTTACCCAGCCAACTGAAGCAGAACCCATACCATTTAAACCACCACTGAAGACCCTAATATTCACTGTGGTATGTAGCATTTTCTCACTCACAGGAGAGAGCCTGGTCCGGCTATGGAAGAGCATGGGAGGGCTATGGATGAAACCCCACTGGTAGACTACTTACCTAGCATGCACAGAGTCCTGGGTTCCAATCCCAGCAGTACACAAAGGCCGGCAGGGTGACAGGCACCTGTAATCCCAGCAGTCCAAAACTAGAAACAGTAGGATCAGTAGAACAAAGGTCAGGGACCAGCCAGAACTACAAGAGACCCCGTCTCAAAAGGGAAATGAAAAGCACAGAAGTAATGTGACCACAGTGGGTTTTTTGATGTCTGCTGTGCACTAGCTCACATGGAGTGTCTATAGGTGTTTGAGCAGATACTCATCTTTAATTAACAAAAATATTTGCGTGCAGTTGGGTATTTTTAAAGCAATTAGGATGTTCCTTCCTGTAAGTAAATTAAATGCTATTCTTAGAGTATGGTCTGCACCATTCATTTGCCTTGCAAAAACCATTCTAGATGCTGTGGAAGCAAACGGAGCACAGCTCTGCTAGAATTCTTTGCCTTTCCCTAATTTCCGAGGCGCTGAATTTAAGTGTAAGCTCCCAGCCCTGGGCTCGTGGGGGGAGGAAGGGGTATCCTGTCTGCCCACCATCAGACCTCAGGGCCTGGCTCCTGCTTTGATGTTTAGTTACTTAGTTCACTCAGCATTTGACATCTCAGGAAGATTTAGTTCTATTAATGTATATGCCAATGTTGTCAGATTTTGCATTGGACAGTTAAAACCAACTTTTAACCTTTTTTATTATTTATTTATTTAGTTAGTTCGTTAGTTTATATCCTGGCCACAATTTCCCCTCCCTCCTCTCCTCCCGGGTCCTCTCTCCCACCCCAATCCCTCTGTTCCCACCCCTCAATCCACTCCTTCTCTGTTTCTGTTCAGGAAAAGACAGGTCTTCCATGGCTATCAACAAATGTCAAATTGCAGTAAGACTAACTACCTCCCATGTATTAAGGCTGGGCAAGGTGACCTAGTATGAGGAGTAAGGTCCCAAAAGCCAGTAAAGGAGTCAGAAACAGCCCCTGTTCCCACTGTTTGGAGTCCCACACACAGATTAAGCTACACAACGGTCACATATATGCAGTGGGTCTAGATCAGTCCCACTCAGGCTTTCCGGTTGTTGGTTTGGACTCTCTGAGCCCTTATGAGCCCAGGCTAGTTGATTCTCTGGGTTTTCTTGTGGTGTCCTTGATCCCTCTGTCTCTTACAATCCTTTCTCCCCGTTTTCTGCAGGATTCCCTGAACTCTATCTAATGTTTGGCTCTGAGCCTGCATCCGTTCCCATCAGTTGCTAGATGAAGCCTCTCTGATGACAATTAGGCAGGACAACAGTCTATGAATCTAGCAGAATATCGTTAGGTACCATTACATTGACAGTTTCCCCCTCCAGTCATGTTCTGTTCTATCTTAGATCTACCCACCTGTGGGTCCTGGTGCTCCAGACAGTGTTGGGATGGGCATTTTCTACAGGCATGGATTTTAGGCTAGACCAGTCATTGGAGGACCATTCCCTCAATCTCTAGGCCACCTTACCCCAGCACAACCCAAAGGTAGAACAGACTGTAGGTCAAAAGTTATGTGACTGGGTTGATGTCCCAATCCCTCCACTGGAAGTCTAAGGTGGAGGTGCAGAGGTTGGGGGGATAAATTTCAGACATATGGTACAAGAAAATCTCCCAGGAATCTATAAGGGTAACCAGCTAAGACTCCTAGCAATAGAGGATCATAGCCTGAACTAGCCAACTCTTCTGACTTTCAACGTTTTTATTTTATTCATCTTTTAGCTAATATTTTTTTAAGTTAAGAGTTAGAAAGATGGCTCAATGAGCATCAGTTCAGGTCCCTAGCACCCGCATGTAAATCACCCCAACACCTAGGATCTAAGGGCATGGAAACAAATTAATCTCTGAATCTCATTGGGCAGACAGCTAGAAAAATCAATGAGCTCCAGGTTCCATAAGAGACTCTGTCATAAATAAATAAATAAATAAATAGCGTTAAGAGCGATTCAAGACATCTGAAGTCAACTCTAGCCTCTACACATCTGTACACAACAGACACAAACACAAGGAGACCACACGCGCATAGGATAAAAAATAAAATAAACGTAGCTAATTCTGTCTTACCAATCAAATTAACAATATAATGTCAGCATAAAATAGAAATAAAAGTTATACATTCAAAATAATTCCAATATTTAATTATATAAATATATGTGGACCTTAAAAGAAAAAAACACTTATATGTCAGATTTGTAGGGTTCATTTTCTATCTATATATGTATATATGGATATTAGAAAATAATATAGTGTGTCTATCAGTCTTGTAAGATATAAGTAAAAATGAGATATAAGTATCATAAAATAGAGATATTTTATGAGATTATGAGTCGTTTGTTTCTAAATATGAATGCCTTCATTTATTCTTGTGTATCCATGGCAAGTGCCAGTGTGTGTGTGTGTGTGTGTGTGTGTGTGTGTGTGTGTGTGTGTGTTGGGTGTGTGTATGTGTTGGGTGGATGTGTGTGTAAGCCAGAAGTCAACCTCCTGCGATCCTCAAGAGCCATCCACTTCGGGTTTTGAGACAGTCTCTCACTAGGAACTGGGTCTTGCTAGTTCATCTAGACTAGCTAGCTGGCTAAGAAGCTCCAGGGGTCCCCCTGTCACTGCCTGCCCTGCCCTGGGATTGAAAGCATTTCACCATCACACCCAGCCGTGGGTTCTAGGGATCCAACTCAGATCTTCATGCTTGCATGGCTAGAACTGGACCAAATGAGCCACCTCCAAGTTCTACATTTGATTTTTATAGCAGAAGAAAAAAAAATGTTTTATTTGTTCCCTAAAAATGTAAGTTTTTCCGATAACTCGGACTCTGGGGAGAAAACCATTTCTTCTCTCCTCAGCAACTCTCCTCACTCCACGTGTTTCAGCTCCTTCATTATGACTCAGGGTTTCGTTGTGTTTTGTTTCTTGTTCATCCTTGAGACTGGAAAGCCAATGGAGAAACAATTGTAGTGGCTTCTCTCGTTCTCTAACGCACCCTTCAAATCTTTGAGTGATTAATCTAGAAAAGATTAGTAGGACACAGTAGGACAGGGTTGTGAAATATACCCAGGGCCCCATGTGACGGAGCAGCCCACTCCACCAGAAGCCAAGACCATGGCTCGTCTGGGATCTGTCTGGGCCCCTGGGAGTGTGCCACTGTACTGAGGGCAGTTCCCTCTTTTGGATGTTATAATACACACTGCCTCCAGCAGGAGGAGTTAGAAGGCGAATATTTGTTTTCCCACATAGCCCAGGCTGGCCTTGAACTCACTATATAGCTGAGGATTATCTTGGAATTCTGATCTTCCTGCCTTCACTTCCCAAAGATGGGGATTAAAGGCATGGGCCAGCATCCCAGGCTTATGTGGTGCTGAGGCTAGACCCCAGGGCTTGTGCATGCTAGCTACATCCCCAGCCCATTAGTATTTTTCACATAACCAATAGTTGCACTCACAAGAGGTGAGCATTGGCTTCTCCTTAACATTTCAAAGGGCACAAGCATAGCATCCTTTGGAGAGGCTGAGAAAACTCATTTTTCAGGACAGACAGTTTGAAGTCAGGGTGTTCAACTGAAGGGGGGCAGAGAAGGGGAGGATTATTAAAGGGAAACTAGCATTTAACAAATGGTGGATGCTGTCAGATTCTAGAGAGGGGGTCAGAGAATACTTACTGAAGAGGTAGCTGTAATAGTAAAAATAAAACTGCACCAGTGGGCCTCAAGGGGCAGCGGGTCCCAGGCAGGGAGCCATGCAGCGGGTGAGAGACCTCAGCAGATCAGCCAGTCCTACGAGGAACCGCAGCAGATGAGAGACAGAGATGGATAGGCATGCCATACAGAGTGAGATTGGATATTTATTTAGTGGGTTATGGAAGGGAAAGGGACAGGGGAGAGGGAGGGAGAAGGGGGACAAGGAGAGAGGGAGAGAGAGAAAAAGAGCAGGGAGGAGAAAAGAAGCTACCTAGGGAGAGAGACAGAAAGAAGAAGAAGCTCACAGGCTGGAGGATCCACTTGCCTAGGTGGACTGAGGGAGGGAGTAGGCGGGGCTTGTCTCTTAAAGGGACAGGACAGTAGTGACAGTAGCCCATTTCTGAATGTCTTTAAACATGTGTACACGTTTGCCGGGATCCAAGAGAGAAGGAGTGGATTATGTAGATGCTACAAGTCAACCCCAATCTCTTGGTATGAAGCTATCCCTCTGCTGCTTCTTGTCTCAGCCTCTTTGTTTAACAATTGCTTATCTCCCAGACTTCTGGGGCATAACAGCAGGAGGGAAAGGACCTCTGTTGTAGGTCTGCTTGTCTGAGTGGGTTAAAGTGCAGTCACTGGAGGGAGAATGGAACGGCTACATCTGCCCATCCCTCCATTGCCATGATGAAGACCAACAATGGAGGAGTTTTAGAAAATAAGGTTGGTGAGCTGGGATGTGGCTGAGTTGGTAGAGCACACAATGCCCTCGGTTCCATCCTCAGCATTAGGAGGATGCAGAGCTCCAGGCCACCGTAGGAAGTCCAACACCAGCTTGGGCCATAAGAAACCCTGTCTTAAACAGAGCAAACCAAAAAGGACAAGTAGGTCTCTTAATGTCGCTGGGTTAGATTTCTATCTCTCAGACAAGGTACTTCAAGAAAATCAACCCAGTGGCCACTTGGTCCCATTGCTTTGGAACCATGGTGAGGTAATATGTAACTGCAGAGATTACGTTATCAACCAAACCTGCTCACTTCATGGCAGCCAGGAAGTGAGAGGGACGGGAGTCCCATTAATCCCTTAAGGACACGCCCCCTAATGACATGGCTTCCTCTCACTAGGCTCCACCCTCTAAAGCTTCTAATGCTGCCCATTCATGTTATCAGCTCAGGGAAAACCTTTCAACATGAGAGTTTTGGGGACATTAATACCTCAGCCTTGATACAAGAAAGGCTGGCAAAGCATCCAGCCACTAGGTGACTATGGGAGGTTTGTGGGAATGAAGGCAGAGGGACACCAGGGAAATAAAGCTAATTTACATGTCCCTGTTAATTAGATTTAATAAGTGTGCTGTCAGGTTCGCTCATTTACATCACTTTCTAGGGTGTCTGGGAGCTCACAGAAGCATCTCAGGGTGTGTTTGATGGCTACAGTGTTCTGTTTCTCTCACACACATGCTGAAGTAAAGACACCTTTGAACATTCCAACACAGAATCACTGCCCAAATTTGAAAAAAAAATCCCTATTTAGCACTTCCTAAAACATCAATGCAAATTAATTGAGCTTCATAGATTTCTGTACTGAGATTGCAGGCAAAGCCATGTGAAAGCTAACGAACTTCGCGGGAAGGAAAA